TACGCCACCACCAGTGCCGCTCGCCAATTCGAAATCGAAGTAGAGTTGGGAAATCTGCATCAGGGAGACAAGGACGTCATGACGTACTTCCACGAGGCCAAGCTCCTGTGGACTGAGCAGGATCTCTTGGCTACAACACTTCTCACTAGCGTTGCATCTGCCGAAGTCAGGGTCGAGAAGAACAACACTCGAATTCTTTAGTTTTTGGCTCGTCTACGTCCAGACTATGAGTATGTTCGATCCACCTTGTTGAACAGAGAAGGGCTGCAGCTCGAACAGGTTCTGGGAACCCTTATTCGCGAAGAAACAAAGCTGAGAACACAAGCAGCTCTTGATGCTCGTCCCGGCCAAGGTGATCCCGCTGTATTTGTTGTGGGCAAAGGGTCCTCCTCACTCATGCCGCAACCTTCCCACAGGCAGGTCCGTCCCGACCAAACTGGCAGCGGAGATGATGGTTCTTCAAAAGCTGCTTTTGCGGCTTATCGGTCAGCTCAAGCTCGCTGTGACGTCGAGTGTCATCATTGCCATGCTCAGGGACACACCAAGAAATATTGCCGCAAAAGGAACTAATGTGTGTAGTGTAAACAAACGGGACATATCGTTCCCGATTTCCCTTCTCTTCTGCAGCGTGCAGCTAAGCCTAATGATGGCGGCAACAACAATTTTCTAGCAGCTCCTCGCAGCGGGTTGTCCCAGGCTTGGGCAGCGTTTGCCACCCAAGTCGCAGACCATGATGGAGGGGTTCTTGTCACCACTGCCACCTTGGAACAGCTAGTTAATAAAGCTGTTAGTTCTGCCTTTGCTAGCCTCCAAGTGTCCGGTAAGTCTCCCAACTGGATTTTAGACTCTGCGTGCTTCAATCATATGACGAGTAAAATTTCTGAGGTATCGAACATAAAGCCGGTTAATGATATTGCTCTTCAAATAGCTAATGGAAATCAATTACCTGTAGTAGGAGTCGGCCATGTTCAGAATCAAAATATGACTTTATCAAACACATTTTATGTACCTAAGCTTGTACCTAGCTTAGTCTCTGTTGGTCAACTTACTGAGTAAGGTTGTCGTGTTGTGTTTGCACCCTCTGGATGTTCTATGAAGGATCTGAAGACGAGGCAGGAGATCGGCCAGGGCAGTAAGCGAGGGCGCATCTTCTATCTTGAGCATCTTGGATCACCATCACCATCGCCATCGCCATCTCCATCATCCTCGTCTCCCCCTTGTGTCCCTTCGGTGTCTAGGTTTCCTTTTTCCCCTGTGTTTTCGAGTGTAGGAGATCATACTTTTCAGTTATGGCATGCTCGGTTAGGCCATCCAAACTCTGTTCGTCTTGGTATTATGTTCAAACAACGATTATTTGGTGATACAATTGCACATTGTTCTGATTTTCAATGCACCAGTTGTGTCGAGGCTAAGACCACTCAATTGTCTTTTCCTTCGAGTCATACTGTTATTTCTAAGCCATTTCACCTCATTCATACTGATCTTTGGGGTCTCAGTCCTATCACATCTCGGCATGGTTACAAATATTTTGCTTTATTTGTTGATCATGCTACTCGTTACACTTGGGTCTATTTCTAACGTCTTAAGTCTGATCTTCTGACTGTTGCCACTGAATTTATAAATATGATAAAGACCAAGTTTGATAGAACAGTTCGTGTAGTCCGTTCTGACCCTGGAGGTGAATTTAGTTCTACTCCCTTGCTCAAACTCTATAGTTCCCTTGGCATTCTTTCCCAAAAATCTTGAACCGGAGTCTCTCAACAAAATGGTCTAGTCGAGCGCAAAAATCGTCATGTTGTCGAGGTCACTCGAGCTCTTCTACTCGCCTCTCATGTTCCCTCGTCCTTCTGGCCTGAAACTGTCGCTACGACCATTCGCCCTATCAATTATCAGATCACCCCTGTGTTAGGTCAAGAGAGTCCATATTTCAAACTATTTCATAAACATCCTCCTTACTCCCGTCTTCGAGTCTTTGGTTGTCTCTGCTTTGTTCTTCTTCCTCGGTCTGAACGTCATAAGTTGTCCTCTAAGACTGCGCGTTGTGTGTTTCTTGGCTACAACGATGTTCATAAGGGCTATCTCTATTATGATCCCTCTCTCCAACGTATTCGTGTTGCTTGCAATGTAGTCTTTTTTGAAAATCTCATGTACTACTCTTCGTCATTTGAGCCCGTTCCTCTCTTTGACACTTCCTTGAGTCTCCCCTCGTTCCCTAGTGATGATGATGATGGTGAAGATGTGCCTCTGGACCTTATGCCTAGGGATGGCAATTACCCACCCATGGGTAATTATACCCAAACCCAAATAGACCCATTGATAATGGGTTGGGTATAGGGGAAGTGCATATGGGTTTGGGGGGTTTGTAGATGGGTTTGGGTAAGGTATGAATATTGCTTCCATAATCTAAATGGGTATGGGTTGGATATGGATATCCATTTACTTGAGGGTGTTTTAACTACACATGCAAAAATTGGACCTATTTGTAAAACTTAAAAATTTTAGGTACCAAAATGTAAGACCAAAAAAATTTAGGTACCAAAACGTAATTTTCTATCGATATTTTTAGGACTTATATGCAAAAAAATTAAATTTAGGTACTAAATATGCATATCTATTAAGTTTAGGTACCAAACTGTAATTTGTATTTGGGCATGGGTACAAACCCAAATCCATTTGTTATAAACCCAACCCAACTCAACCCAAAGTATATGGGTGGGTACAAACCCATCAAACTCTACCCATATCCATCTATTTGGATTTCATACCCAACCCAATTGGGTTGGATAGTAAAAAACCCATGGGTATGGGCAAAATTGCCATCCCTACTTACGCCCCCACCTAGTCTGCCGCATTCTCCTGACCCCACCGAGTCGTCGACTTCCTCCGACTCCTTGCCATCCCCGTCTCCACCCCAGGCTGCTCCTCCTCGTCGATCACTTCGCTCCACCTTTGGCCAACCACCAGCCCGGTTTCAAGATTATGTCACATTCAGGTGGATCCTATTTCTGTTCCCACTCGGTATTCTCAGGCTAAGGGTGATCCTTGCTGGGATGGTGCTATGATAGAGGAGATTTCTGCTTTTCATGCAAATGACACCTGAGATGTTGTACCTCGGCCTCCTCCTGAGATTCCGGTGGTGGGTAGCAAATGGGTCTATGCGCTGAAGGTTCTTCCTGATGGTACTATTGAGCGGTTTAAGGCTCGAGTGGTGGCTCAGGGGTTCACTCAAGAGTATGGTGCGGATTTTGAGGAGACCTTTGCCCCAATCGCCAAAATGGTGACTGTTCGTTCTCTTCTGGCTGTGGCAGCTATTCGTGGTTGGCCTCTCTATCAACTCGATGTTAAGAATGCCTTCTTGTAAGGTGAGTTGAAAGAGACTGTTTACATGGAGTGTCCCCCTGGTTATGCTCTGGGTTCGCCGGATAAGGTGTGTTTACTCAAGCTCTCTCTTTATGGATTGAAGCAGGATCCGAGAGCTTGGTTTGATAAGTTTCAGTCTACCATTTTGGGGTTGGGTTTTACCCAAAGCCTTAATGATCCGTCACTCTTTATTAGGCACACTTCGAAGGGCATTGTGGTTCTGTTACTGTGGATGATATGATTGTCTCTAGTGATGATGCTGATGGGATTTCTGCCCTGACTAAGGGCCTTCATGAATCTTTTAACCTCAAGGAGCTAGGCTCCCTCTCGTACTACTTAGGCCTTGATGTTACTCGGTCCAGCGAGGGGATCCTCCTTAGTCAGCAGAAGTATATTGCTAATATCTTGGACTCGGCACGCTTTGGTAAATGTACTCCGGTGTCTACTCCTATTGAGCTCAACTTGAAGTTGGGTAAAGAGTCGGGTTACGGGTAAATTACTAGCGGATGGGGGAAAGCAGTACCGCAGTCTAGTTGGCAGTCTGATCTACCTGACGTCTACCAGGCCTGATCTCTTCTATGTTGTTCAGATTGTCAGCCAGTTCATGGCTGCTCCTCGTACTGGTCACTTAGCAGCTGTTAATCGCATCCTCCGTTATCTTCAAGGCACTCGGACTGTTGGTTTACTCTTGCCGTCTGGTGGTTCCTGTGTTCTGCAGGCATTCTCCGATTATGATTATGCTGGGTGCATTGATACAAGTCGCTCGACTACTGGCTGGTGTGTTCGATTGGGTGCTTCTCTCATATCCTAGCGTTGTAAGAAGCAGGATCGTGTTTCGAAGTCCTCTACCGAGGCTGAGTATCGTGCCATGTCCGATGTTACCTCGGAATTGGAATGGTTACAACGCGTTCTTGGTGATCTTGGCATGCGTTGTGTTGTCCCTATGGAGTTATATGTTGATAATATCAGCGCCATTCGCATTGCTACGAATTCAGTCCTTCATGATCGGACTAAACACATTGAGGTTCATATTCATTACATCCGCAACCTGGTCCGTGATGGTACTCTTTGCATCTTCTACATTGCCTCCGAAGATCAACTCGCATACCTGTTTACAAAAGCCTTCACGGCCAGTCGTCATTCCTATTTAGCTAGCAAATTGATGTTGAGACCTCCCCATCAATTTGGGGGAGGGTGTTGAGTTATATGTTGCTGATTGTATAGGGCCTTGATCGCAGCGCTTATGGACTAGGCCCATTAGTTACGTAGAATGTTGTGGATAGGCTCGGCTAGGGTTATTGGTGTATGGCCGAGTCTCTGTATATAGATGGCTAGGGTTGGTACCGAAAGAACCAAGGAAATAACATCGATTACTATTAGGAATTGTCATTGAACAGTTTCATACCACTAACATCGATTACTATTAGGAATCTTGTATTTTAGGTCCCAACCAAGACTTTATATTATCATCATATATATAGCTTCTTTATCGGGAATATGTGCAGACTGCAGTGTGTTTTCTTTACTTTTTTTATAATAAAAGTAGCCGTTTCAGGAAAGGGGAGGGTGGGACGAGAGACATCCAGCATCTCTCTCCTACATGCATGCATATCTCCAAAATATATTCTTCAAAAGAAAAGAAAGATATAAAGAAAGGGAGAAAAAAAAAAAAAAAAAAGGACACACCTCTTGCAAGTTGCAAGTGCAATCGAGGCTTATAAAAGGCTAAAAAGCCTTACCGGCACAGCACAACGAAATCAATCAAACCAGTTTTTCCTTCTCTACCAAAGCCATTATGATGGAGAAGGCTGCTTACGACAATGCTTATTGCTATTCCCTCCTTCCCGTCCTCCTTGTCTTCTCCTTGGTTCTCTACTTAACCTCCGCCCACCGCCGCGTAGGTCGGAAACTCCCTCCAATCGTGCCCGGCGCCCTCCCAATCCTGGGCCACATCCGGCTCATGAGATCCCCGTCCCACCAAACTCTGATGGGCCTGGCCCAACAACACGGCCCCATTTTCACCCTCCGCCTGGGGACCAAACTGGCCGTGGTGGTCACCTCGGCCTCCCTGGTGGAAGAGTGCTTCACCAAAAACGACGTCGTCCTGGCCAACCGCCCGGCCTTCATCATGGGGAAGCACATGGAGTACGACAACACCTCCATCACCCAGATCTCCTACTGCGACCACTGGCGCCACCTCCGCCGCATCTCCGCCGTCGAGATCCTGTCCAACCAGCGCATCAACGGCTTCCAGCCCATCCGCCTCCAGGAAGTCCACCGCCTCGTCGCCAACCTAAGCGGAGGAGAAGCAGGCGGACGGAGGCGCGTGGAGATGAAGTCCGCGCTCAACCAGCTGGCCTTCGACGTCATGACGAGGGTTGTGTCCGGGAAGCGGTACTACGGCGGCGGCGGCGGCGGCGATGACATGGAGGCGACGCGGTTCACGGAGATAATGAAGAAGGTGGCGGAGTACGGCGGGGCCACTAGCCCGGTGGATTTCGTGCCGTTGCTGAGGTGGTTGGACCGCGGGAGGTACGAGAAGGAGGCGATGGAGCTGGCCGGAAAGACGGATAGGTTCTTCCAAGGGTTGATTGACGAGCAAAGGCGCGGCAAGGAAACCACCAACTCCGCGATCGAACGGTTGCTCAAGTTGCAGGAGTCCGACCCCGAGAATTACAGTGACCAGATTATCAAAAACCTTGTTCTGGTGAGCTCTCATTTTTTACCCACTTCTAACCACGGTTGTCATGTCGGTAGCATGCCGGCCGATTCAACCTGTGTTGGCCATGAAACGAGCATGAACCACCAGTATGTTCTATATATGATTAAATACATTGGATTTTTTAAACCGACACATGAACCTGCACAAACGGTATCATTTCACTTGTCAAATCGGCACAACGGCATAAATCAGTTTGAAAATTTTGAGTCTACCTTTGCATTGTAATTAACAACTAACTAATTTCTGAACATGCATGCATATATATACATCTACGTACGTACGTTCATGGTGATGATGTTCTGTGCCCTGCAGGTGATGGTGTTGGGGGGAACCGAAACCAACGCAGTGACAATGGAGTGGGCGATGTCGTGCCTTCTCAACAATCCCGACAAACTAGCCAAGGCAAGGGAAGAGATCGACAAGCAAGTCGGGCAGGAACGGTTGCTAGAGGAGTCGGACATTGCCGGCCTCCCTTACCTTGGGAACATAATCTCCGAGACCTTCCGACTGTACCCGGCTTCTCCGCTCCTCGTCCCGCATTTTGCCTCGGAGGATTGCGTGGTCGGTGGGTACCTCGTTCCCGCCCACACAATGGTGTTGGTCAATGCATATGCTATTCACAGGGACCCTAATCTTTGGGACGATCCAATGAGCTTTAAACCTGAGAGGCATTCTGCTGCTGCTGGAAAAGTCGACGGAGCTAAGATTCTGACTTTTGGGATGGGCAGAAGGGTCTGTCCCGGTGTGGGTATGGCGAATCGGCTTGTGGCCTACACTCTTGGGACATTGATCCAATGCTTTGAATGGGAACGAGTTGGGGAGGAAGAGATTGATATGACTGAAGGCAAAGGGATCACAATGCCTAAAGTTAAGCCACTGGAGGCAATCTGTGTAGCTCGTCCAGTCGTGAAGAACATTATTGTTTCCTGAAGTCTGAAGATACATGCATAAGAAAGATCAGCCCATCACCACACCCTATCATATATATTAATTACCTAATGTAATGTGTGATTGGCAGAATAAAGTATGTATCGTGGATTAATAATATTTAATAAAAATGCTAATAATACTACTAATAATAATATATAGGTTTAGCAACCAGCCAGAGGAGGCTTTACCTATATATTTGCAACTCTCAATAAATTTTATGAAGTTACGTTTGTGATTTGCTGTGAATGAAAATGAATGGGAAGAAAGATCAAAGCTTATATATGCATCATATTGATTAAAGGGATAGGATAGGGTGCTAAAATTCGGCGGGTTAGTACTATGCTAATAATAATTTTAAAAAGTTATGATTTGGTGTGAATAAAAATGAATGAAAAGAAAGTTCCAAAATTATTCGTATTATATTGATAAAAAGGATAGGATAGGGTGGAAAAAATCACAGAATACTCTAGTAATTATTTTTTCCCCCCAAAATACAGTAGTTATAAAAGTATTTCTCAAAGTACAGCAGTTTGATCATCACTGTTAATGACGAAGACAGTGATGCTAATCACCGCCTTAAAGGACAACAGTGAAGGTATCACCGTTTAGAACAGCCGCGGTTATGTGTTCACCGCTGTAGTAAAAAACGGTTTTAACATCACCGCGTCCCTTTATAACGGTGATAACTATCACCGCATTTCTCCAACATGGTGATTACATCACCGCTGTCGTCAAAAATGGTGATCTTTTCCCACGTTTTACAACCCTGGTAGGTGAAGAATTAGGTCACAACAACCTGGCTATCACTGTTTTGGTCAAAAGCGGTGATGTGTTCACTGCAATTGTCCACTGCGGTGATTGGCCCTTAAATTTCCTTATAAAAACCCAACCCTCACGTCCCTCCAGCTGCCTTACAACAAATTAGTAAAAAATTAGTGATTTTTGGACCTTTTCTCAGCTGGCTTGGAGTTGGTTTACAGCAACAAGAAACTTACCGGGATTCGTTATGTTATAATTATGTATTGTTTACATGTTGATGTATTAGTAATTATATGTCTTTATTTAGTGAATTGTGGTTATTGGCAAATATGTTATGTTAGAGATATTTAGATTAATTATGGTATGATTGATGTTAGTTAGTTAGTTATGAATTTAGATGAGTTTGTTTAGTTTTCTCATGATAGATCAATTAGTAGCGGTTGTTTATGGGTTTGGATAATATTATTTTTGTATCCCTAATGTACTAATTATACTATACTAATCTTATTCGAGTTAAGCTAATAGTTACTTACTTATTATAAATTGCAGCCATGGGTAAATTTAAGAAGTTTCGGCCTATTATTCGGTGGAATGGTCGGGTGACAAACTCGGACATTGGGATCGACTATGAAAATGGCGAATCCAGTATGCTAAAAATTGAGTCGAGATTCTCGTGGCAAGAACTCCGTGACATTTGTGCAGAAAGGACTTGTATGGGCAGACAAAGAAGAGTTGGTCAAATTACTTACCGGTATCCAAACATGAGTGCTGACGGAATTATGTACGAAGAAGTTGTCATAAATCTAAATTCGCTAGATACGATTTGGTTAGAATAAATCTAAATTCGCTTACTTGGAATATATCTAAATTCACTAAAATACTATAATTGCATACTTAAAATGAATATAATTCGCTTACTTGGAATATATCTTTTTTTTGGGTAGAAAACAGAGCGCAAAGGGGCGCAACATGGATCGGTCCAGGTTGACAATTTAAATACTTTCTCTATACTGCACCTGGCTAGAGTTTAAAAACTTGGACTCTAGTTGGGATTAATTTGTGGTGTAGTTCCGTGCGAGTCACTTGTGCCAACAGGCAAGCATGGCGCCGCAGCGGAGCATGATGTAGAATCTGGCCTTCTGTTCTTTTGCCAAGTTGGTGCATTTCCGCCCGATTGACGACGAACCCCCCTTTTCAGAGTAACCCTCGCAAGGCCCTTCGCCGCAGCCGGCGGCGTACTTGAGGGACGAGGACGAAGACGCTGATCTTCACGGAGACGGATAACTACCTGACCGCGGACATCCGGATCGGGTTCTTTAGTAGAGACCACGGCACGAGAGGGTCTTCAGCCGTGATGGCGACGAGTGGAGTCGGGGAGGAGAAAGCGGGTTCGACAGAGGAGTAGAATAATTATGTTTTTATTTTTAATTTTTTAGTGATGATAGTAATTAGGTGGAATATTTAAAATATAAAATATAAATTTTTATTATTTTTTAAGTGTCACGTCACACATTTAACGGTCAACTTTCAGAGTTGACTGGCACATCAACCAAAGCTAACGGAGTTAGATGGAGAGTGACCGAACTTGAAATATTTTACTATTTGTAGTGACCACGAATGGAATTAAATATTTTTAGTTACTAAACATGAACGTTTTTAGTAATCTCAATGACCAACCTTGCAATTAACCCTTTAATTTTTTTATTAAATCACACATTACTAAAGATTTACGTAATACCATTCTATAATAATAACGTGAATTACAATGCATGGCATAAAGCTTATGGATGAATAATTATTTTTAGTATCAATTAAATAAACATAGTATGTTAGTATTCTACAATTATTAATACACTACGTAAATTTTATCAAAGTATTTTGTGATTTATTTAATTTCAACTAATCATTAAAATAATTATAGAAATTTAAATTATTAATTAGTTTCTTACACCGCGATGCACGTGCCAAAAATAATATAATTAAAACCAAAGTATATTTTCCTGCTCGTTACTAAAAAAATTGGAACAATATTTAATTTGTTACCCTTTTGAAATGGGTACGGTTCACGAGGATTTTTTATCTTTTACATCCAATTTTATCATAAGCCTATTGTTATTTAACAAAAACTCATTTATTTTCACGGTTTATCATAAGTTCATTTTTATAAACTCATTGTTATTTAATTATGAACTAACATTCTTTTGTTAGAAAAATATTAAATTATTAATTGAAATTCCATCATTGTTAACTAAAATAATTAACATGTCATCAATTTGCATTATGCAAAAGTTATTCAAGATTAGTTAACTTTGACATAACAATTTTAATCATTTTTTACTTTCTAACATTTGATTTTACTATTAGACCACTTATTTTTAATGATTTATTTAATAACATTCTATAATTGTTACATAAATTACAAATCCATTATACGTTACTTTCTATAACTTGATTTTATTATTAGAGCACAAACTATGAAAAATTTATATAAAATATTGTATAACAGTTAGACAAACTACGTTTTATAAAAAGTAAATAAATTACAAATTTTTTTTTTTCGTTGAATCAGTTTCTTTTTATTCCAAGTAACCAAAACAACGAAGAGAGGAGTAAAAAGCCCCATGTTCACCAACTACCAGCCAAAACTCTAATTACATATCAGGCTACTATTCACTATAATCAACTAAATGTAACCCAATCTCACTAAAGTGTCCCGGGCTCCCCTATCCCCATAAGTGAGAAACACCAACTCCTGTTTGATAAGCTCAGCAACCTGCCTTGGCGTCCGAGCAGCAGCTCCAAAAACCACTCCACACCTCTCCTTCCAAACAAACGCAATCACTAGGCACCACAGAAGAGCTTGCCACTCCCCAAGCGGAGCACGCCCAACCTGGGAATGCGAGTGAAACATCGCATTCCAGTCTGGAAAATGTAACAGACGACACCCCAATCCTGCATCCAATTCAGTAGCAAAAGCACATTGGGTAAAAAGATGATCCCGGCTTTCCATTCCCTGTCTGCAAAGTGGGCACTCAGCTGTGCTGGTTTTTCCCCATTTCAGCAACTTGTCACGGGTGGTAATTGCATTCTTCAAGACTAACCAGACAAGCAAACAAAAACGAGGAGGACAAATACTACCCCATACCAACTTATACCAGTCCACTCTAGGAGCTTTCCTTCTTAAAGTTTCCCAAACCCTACGGATAGAATATGAGTTCATCTCATTCGAATCCCAGTATACTCTATCCTGCTGCACACAGATCCATGGGCGAAACACTTCCCTAAGCTTGAGGATTTTACGAAAAGCCCAGGAACTACTATACTGAACCCTTAGTCCCCAGAAATCACAATTCCTGCATTTATATTCTTTTAACCATGCCACCCATAATGCCCCTGAATTCATCAAAAATAGCCAGATCATTCTACCTGTACAGGCTTGATTCCAAGCAAGGAGGTCTTTTACCCCAAGGCCTCCCTCCCGTTTAGGGAGAGCAACCTGATCCCATCCCACTTTTGCCTTACCTCCATCCTGCCCATGCCAGAGGAATTGAGAACAAATGCTTTGTATTTTCTTGATAGCTTGCTTTGGGAGAACAAACATTTGCATCCAGAATTGTACCATCCCCAGTATGACAGAATTTAGGAGCTGTAACCTCCCTGCATACGTGAGTTTTCTTGCTCTCCATGACCTGATACGCTTAGTAATCTTTTCTACCAAACAATCAATTTCCACAATTGAGAGTTTACCAGAGAGAAGAGGCAAACCTAGGTAACGGACAGGGAGTTTACCTTCTTGGAAACCAGTGAGAGTTAAAGCATTCTGCTTGTAGAGAACTGAGTCACCACCAAAATAAACCTCACATTTTGCTGGATTACTGTTAAGACCAGACAGATGGTAGAAACTTTGAAGAACCTTTTTGACCTGCATAATGGCCTGAGCTGAACCCTTTGTAAAGATAAGTAAATCATCTGCAAAGCAGAGATGGGTTAACCCCACTCTCTTACATTGCGGATGAAATGGAATAAGCCCTGACTGCCCTACTTCTGATAACATAGTTGTCAAACCCTCCATTGCAATGGTGAAGAGGTAGGGTGATAATGGATCACCCTGCCTTACCCCTTTTCTGGCTCTGAAGAATCCAAACAAGCTACCATTTATATTAATGCTATAATGAGCTGTTTGGAGACAACATCTAATCCACTTTAAGAATATAGGAGGAAACCCCATACTTTTCATCATAAAAAATAGATACTTCCAACTCACTGAGTCGAAGGCTTTCATAATATCCACTTTAATTGCACACCTAGAGGACAGGAAACTCCTCTGGTACCCACTCACCAACTCCTGTGCCATCAGTATGTTGTCCATAATACTCCTTCCTTTTATAAAAGCAGACTGAGGGCTACTAATTACTAGAGGCATAACCCCCTTGATTCTATTAGCTAGGACTTTTGCAATGACTTTATATAGAAAGTTTATACAGGAAATAGGACGAAAATGTTTTAGGGTATCAGCATTTGGGATTTTGGGAAGTAATGAGACAGCTGTGGAGTTAACTCCACTAGGGAGAATACCTGAGTTGAAGAAGAACAGAATCCCTCTGATAACATCTTCACCTATGATCCCCCACGCCCTTTTGAAAAACCCTGCAGAGAATCCATCAGGGCCTGGGGCCTTCTGTGGATTCATACTAAACACCACTGCCCTTATCTCCTCTCCTGTGACCTCCTGTACCAATGCCTCACATTCATCCCTCGGAATTTGCCGCTTAACCAGTCTTTCCACCTCATCTTCCTTAGGATTAATATCCTCATTAGCTTCTCCCAACAGCTTCTTATAAAACCCAAGTACCTCTTCCACAATCTGATCAGTTTGGTAAATTTCCTCCCCTGTATCCCTGACCAATTTCCTGATAGCCCGCTTAGAGTTCCTTATCTTTACTGCTTGATGGAAAAAATGAGAGCTTTTATCTCCCACAGTCAGCCAGGAGACCCTGGACTTTTGCCAACAGAAGCTTTCATATGCTCTTGAAATGTACTCATACTGCTCAGTTACCTGCTTAACATCCGCAAAATTCTCTGAAGATGGATCAGAATAAGCCACCATTTTTGCTTTGTGCAGAGCAGCCTCTGCTTCCTTGACTTGGTCTAGGAGATTGCCATACACGTCCCTGTTAAATTTCCTCAATGCTTGTTTCACCTCCTTCAGCTTCCCCTGAACTATCTGCAGTGGATTTCCCAAAACTACAACCTTCCAAGCATTCTCCACTACTTCCAAGAACCTCGGGTGCTCAGCCCAGAATTCAAAGTATTTGAAGGGTTTTGGCATAGATTTGATTTGGGCAGTAGTACTAACCTGCACCCCACAGTGGTCAGAGAAGTGAGTAGGTAATACCTCAATGACACAATCTTTGAATTTCTCTATCCAGTCAAGATTGACCAGGGCTCTATCAAGTTTTCGGGCAATTGGACGATTAACCTGCCTATTTGTCCACGTAAACTGAGGACCTGTGGTTCTATAATCAAGCAACTCCATCCTATCTATCCAGCCATTAAAATCTCCCATGCTGGTAGTAGGGCTGAACTGATTTGAAGTCTCCTCTGGTACTCTAACCGTGTTAAAGTCTCCTCCCACAAGCCATGGATAACCAGCCACTTTAACCTTAGCTAACTCATTATAAGTAATAAGTCGTTCTGCTTCATCATTAGAAGCATAAATTGCAGTTAAGAAGAAACTGTCTTTATTTATATCCTCTACCAGACAATGCACAAAATTCTTACCCGGTTTCAACACTTGTAATTTTATCTCAGGAGACCAGAACAGCCAGACCCTTCCAAGATTAGAATCAGTGCACTGAAGACACCTCTCCCAACCTGAAAACACCTCTTCTATCGTATCTTTAGCCTTCTCAGCCTTTATTCGAGTTTCCAGGACCGCAACCACATCTACTTGATTCCTACGTAGGACTTGCATCAAGTCCCGTTGTTTGGAGGTTTTATTGAACCCCCGTACATTCCAGAACAAGACCTTCATTTAGAAGTTGGAGGTTTCCCTCCTCCCCCCTTCCACTGATCCTTTCTTACTTCTTTCTTCTTCGGAGCATATAGAATCTTACTTGCCTCCTTATCCCCAATCGTGCTTAACACACTAAATGAAGACGTCGAGGCCTGCAAAGGATTTTTGACACTCGCTGAGGATAACCAAACCCGAGGTCTAGCCCCATTAACCACCCTCTGGAATTCATCCTCAGTTGGGAGCTTAGGGGACGGAGAACCTGCCACCGCCAAGAAGGATTTCTCCAAATTCTGCGGAGCAATCTGCACGCCCTCACTCACAAGAGGACTCGAGAAGATAGCCTGTAATTGGGGGTCATCAGCACTGTTAAACACTTCCTTACCCTTACTATTCACAGATTTCACATCTTCTGCCACCTGAGCCACCACTGGATCCGATCCCACTGACTGAGGAGGAGCACAATCAACCTGAACCTGTTGTTGTTGCGGCTTTGCAACCCACTGTTTCCCCTGATGAGCTTCACAGGAACCAGAGACCCCAAAGAGCTTACAGACCGAACAGACTGGAGGAAGATTGCAATACGAAACCCCAATTTGAATTGAAGCATCATCGTCAGGCCATATCACTACATGATCTGGATAGTCATTCCCAGCAGTAAGTTCGACCAAAACCTTAGCAAACCCATGCCTATTACCTAGTCTCGTAGTTTGATCCACTCCCAACGGCACACCCACCCAACTGGCAATTCTGCTTAACCCCTGATAATCATTGTACTCAAGCGGAACGTTCGAGAGATGAACCCAGATTGGCAAGGCTTTGCGACCTAAATCTTCAAAACTGATGCCAGGAACCCATGGTCGAAGATAAAGCAAATTATTGTACCAGAACCATGGTCCGTTCTCCAGAATCCACTCACACACCTGTTGATTCGGTAATTGGATCAGCAACATCTTGTCATATAAGAGCGAAACCCTCACCACCCCATCCCTTCCCCAGAGCTTGTTCACCCAGCGACGTAGAACCTGAAGGGAGGGCGGATCTTGAAGGAATTGCCCTACCAGACAATTCTTCCATCGTGACGCACCCGCTTCCCGCACTGATTTCGGCATTCGCAAACCACCATTGATAACCTCCGGGGGAAAGTACGAGAGCCGATTTGCCTCCGAAATGCTAAACAACGAAGCCCAGGGTTTTGATGGGATCCCCTTCGCGTCGCTCTTCGGCACTTCAGAGGGAGAAGAAGAAGACTCAATACGCTCCTCACTCATGAGAAAAGAAAAGAAGTGGAACGGAAGCTGCTCCGGCGCAGGTGCCGGAGCCGGCCGCGAGCAAGCTGATCGGAAAACCCTCGCAACCTTTCTCTCAGTATTCCCCTCTCTACTTTCTCTCACTTGAAGAACATACCTCTCACTTTTTCCTTATTCCTATCATAAATTACAAATTTATTTATAAAAGATAAACTAAATTTTGGAAAGAGATAGCTAATATGTAAGCAAAGAAACTATGTAAAGCTTATGAACAGATTATCATTTTATATGTATCAATTAAATAAAAATATTATGTAAATCTTCCATACTTATTAAATACTACGTAAACTTTATGTAAAAATAGTTATTTATCATGTTTTACTTACGCAAACGGATGATATATGCTAATCGAATGATTAATACATAATTTATATACGTATCTGAACAAAATTTTGCACTATTTGATTTCAAATAAATAATTAGTATCTTATTGCGGTCGAGCGCGTGCCTACAAACTAGTATAATATAAAAGAAAAAGTTGGAGAACGTCGCCTTCATTTCTTCGCCGGCCAAAGAAGATAAAACGATGGACGGAAGTCCCAACACGGCAAACTCCTCTCGCTATTTTCGTTTCCAAAACAAATATATTGGTATCCCTTTCCACTTTTGCAGCCTTCATCTCTATCAACTTATTGAGAAAGCAATGGCGGAGAGAAACAAGAACAACGGCGAGGTGATCGGCATCGACCTGGGGACGACTTTCTCCTGCGTCGCCGTGGCACGGGACGGCATGATCGAAATCATAGCCAACGATCAAGGCAACCGGACCACACCTTCCTTCGTCGCCTTCTCCTCCTCCGGGGAGCGTCTCATCGGCGAAGCCGCCAAGAACCAGGCCACTCTCAACCCCCGCCGGACCATCTTCGACGTCAAGCGCCTCATCGGTAAGAAGTTCGACGACCCCGAGGTCCAGCGGGACATCAGGTACTTCCCCTATCCCGTCGTCAACAGAGACGGAAAGCCGTTCGTCGAAATCGAGGTTGTTGTCGGAGGAGAAGTCAAAGCGTTCAGCCCCGAAGAGATCAGCGCCATGATACTAGTGAAGATGAGAGAAACCGCCGAATCGTACCTCGGCCGGCCCGTCAGCGGCGCGGTGGTCACGGTGCCGGCCTACTTCAACGACGCACAGAGGCAGGCCACCAAGGACGCCGGCACCATCGCCGGGCTCAACGTCTTGCGAATCATCAACGAGCCCACGGCCGGGGCGCTGGCCTACGGGCTGAACCACGGCGGCCGTGGCGATGGCAAGAGGAAGATATTAGTGTACGATCTGGGCGGCGGGACGTTCGACGTCAGCGTGCTGGAGATCGAGGAAGGCGTGTTCCAGGTCCTGGCCACGGGTGGGGACACCCATCTGGGCGGGGGAGATTTCGACCAGAGAGTGATGGAGTATTTCATCGAGTTGATGAGGAGGAAGCACAAATTGGATGTCACTGCGAACGTTAAGTCGATGGGGAAGCTGCGAAGGGAGTGCGAGAGGGCGAAGAGGGCGCTGAGCAATCAGACCCACGTGCGAATCGAGATCGATTCGCTCCTGCAAGGAGGGGCGGATTTCTCGGAGCCCCTGACGAGGGCGAGATTCGAGGAGTTGAATCTGGATCTGTTCAGGAAGACAGTCGAGGTGGTCAGGGCGGCTCTGGTCGATGCAGGGCTGGACAAGAGCGAGGTCGACGAGATCGTGCTGGTGGGAGGAAGCACGAGGATTCCGAGGATCAGGGAGATGTTGAAAGAGATGTTCGACGGGAAGGAGCCTAGCAACGGGGTGAACCCTGACGAAGCCGTGGCTTATGGTGCTGCCGTACTTGGAGCCAATCTCAGTGGCCAAGTTGCGGCTAGATATGGTATGTGTATTGCTATCAATCGAAGTTTCGAAATATTTTCGACGAATTAATTAGTACATAATGCAAAATTTCTACAATTGTAGGGGTCACTTTGTTTGATGTGACTCCCTTGAGCTTGGGGCTTAGGATTATTGGAGGTGTGATGTCTATTATCATCCCGAGAAACACCACCATTCCTACAAAGATGTCGCGTGGGTATACTACCGTGGAGGACCAACAAACCACTCTTACTTTCAAGGTAGAAAAATTCTCTCTCTTTAAAATGCAATCTTGCTTCGGCCTTCGAGGACTTAATTATATGTATGTTATTGTTTTCACACTATTTGATCATATACCATAACACTTGGTTTATAACCCTAGGTATTCCAAGGTGAAAGACCTCTAACTAATGATTGCCTCGAGCTTGGGAGTTTTAATCTGAGTGGCATTCCACCAGCTCCAAGGTAATGTGTGCATGTGTGCTCAAGATGGCTTTGGAATAATCTTTTGTAAATGACAAGCATTCGATCATATGATATAATATATCCATACTTTGGAGGGGAAATCGCAGGGAAGTAGCGTCGGTCGAGGTGACATTTGAAGTTGATGCGGATGGAATTCTAAGCGTAACAGCCAAGGATAGAGCAACCCAAAACTCTGAAGCCCTAACCATCACAAGTTATACCGGGAATTTGAGTCAAGGAGAGATCGACAGGATGGTAAGGGAGGCAAAAGAAATGGCTGAGCAAGACATGATGGAGAAGTTGCGCATAGATGCAAGGAACTGCTTCGAGAGATACATATACGATGTGAGGAACGCGTTAATCAGTGACGATGATAATGTTACTTCGATCGATAAGGCGAAAGTGGAGAGCGCATTGGTAGAAGCTTCAGAGTGGTTGGAAGGTCACCAGAATGGAAGTATGGAAGACTATGAGAAGGGAATGCAGAAGCTGGCAGATGTCTGGAATCCCGTTATACGAAATGTTTATGGGACGAGACGAGAATATAGCGTAATGGTAGTTCTTCACGAGGAGTAAGTTCATTGACAAGAGTCGGGATAGATGAAAAACAGTAGAAAGTTGGTGTTTCGGATAGGCTGCACTATGGCTTCTTGGTTATTGTATACTCGAGTAAAGGAAATATGGTTTGAATTTAGTGAGGAAGCTAGTGGGTTATGCACTCATCAATAACCAAATCTGGAACTTTCATTTAGAAAATCCACATCTAAAGATGGAGAATTAAGGCCATTTTTATTTTTTCTAACTTTATTAATCGGCTCATATCTTTTTTGTTTTAACTCGGATTTTAAATTTTTTTTTTTTGCACAGATAGAACGAGTTTATCGTGCTCTACAAAATGAGATAAATTTTCAATATTTTTTGAGAAAAAAAAAATTCTGGCCTCTCTGTACCAACTGCATACCATATGGTATCTTCTTCATTTTTAATTCGTTTTTGAAAACGTTTGCACAGAAGGGACGAGTGCATCATGATCTATTGGATCTACAAATTTCTGGGTGAACAAATTACAGGACCAAAAAATACCACACAATACCATACAATATCACCCTGGTACGGGGTGGTATCTTGTGGTATACAATTTTAAAAGTGGTAAATGATAGCTAATATACGTCTACTATCTTGTGACACACAATACCATACAATACCACCATGATACACTTTTCAAACCATAGATATGCTTTTATTTCAATACCAGTCAATACCATATGTATAGACTGGTAAAAAATTGCTCAATTTTGTTTTTTGTACGAAAAATATATCAAAGTGGATATCATTTTGAAGAGCACAATTAATCTGATCGAACTGTGAAAAAAAATTAAATTTCGACTTAAAACGAGTGAGAAATCGTCCACCAAAGATTACGGAGAGGAAAATTAAAGGCTTTCTATGAGAGAGAAAGATGCTGATGTCATTATGATATGGACGGGTTAATCATGGTTACTCACCATAAGGTTACTGACCTGATCCGTTCCCCTCAACTTGAATACGAAATTGCATAATACGAAATGGCATGCACTAGCATTTAAGGAAATAACTAGTTAATTGGTCCAAAGCGCGGGATAATGTGTCTAATCAGTTTCATAATTTGACGCAAACATCTTACATTAGCACATATTAAATCCATTCATTATCCCTTAAAAAAATTCATTCATTATTTTACCTAAAAAATAGATACTCTAATTTTTTTTAATCACTCTTACTTATTTTTATGGCGCTAAGATCAGTCCTATTTTAAGATGATAAAACTTGAAACAGTAATTTAAAAGTCGAGTAATATAAATGAAGCTAAAATAATAGAATATTCAATAGGTCTAATTATTAACCTTATATCATTATTGCACTATTTATATCATAAGTTGGAAGTTTGCGTAGACTCATGTTAATACATGCTAGGAGTTATAGGAATTCAAATATATGACATTTTGTTAATGAAAGACTCCAATACTATATGAAGAACCAATTTTGAGTAATAAGTTTAGTTGTTTGGAGATTAGAGATTCTAATCTCATTAATTATTGACGAATAAAAACTAAAATTTACTTCAACACAATAACCAAAGAAGGCTCACATATGGTTCTAAGAAGTTAGAAGTGTTTGTAGTGTACACTAAAAAAAAGAGATTTGGGGACTACAATTAGGGGACAACTAATATATTTTGTCTTCGGAAATATAATCATAAGTGTTGTTAGAATATGACTTGAATTTGATTTGGGTTTGTTTTGTGTTTTAGGCCTATTCTGTTTGGGTTTGGGATTGGGTTTTGTTTTGACCTTTTCCTTGTATGTTTGGGAAAAGGTGTTTGGTTTTCTGTTTGGAATTAGGAGAAGAGTTCTATAAATACTCTTCACCACCATAATCTGTTGTAAGGTCAGTCAGGTTAGTTTGTTTGGTTTGTCCGTTTGGAATTTGGTTTGTAACCTGTACTCTCCTCAAATTAGTGAAATTTGTCTCCTCTGCCCGTGGATTAGCTAGCACGCATTGTGTTAGTGAACCATGTTGGGGATCGGTTAGCATGCTAACCCTTCTAAGGGGTTGGAAAAATGACACCCCTATTAATTATAGTTATTTTTTGTATTAAATTCGTGTTGCATTTAATAATCTTTGAGAATTAAAAACTCATCTTAATTACATTCCTTTTTTTTAACTACCATTGTACTGATACAACTACCATTGCACCTGTATACTGAACTCATATTAATTACGTTCCTTTTTTGGAACTACCATTGCACTGATACATCTACCATTGCACCTGTACACTAATATCATTGCACTGATAAAACTACCAGTGCACTGAAAAAAGGAAAGTAATTAATATATGTTTTTAATTCATACAGATTATTAAATGCAACACAAATTAATTACCTTAAAAACCTATAATTAATAGGGGGTGTCATTTTTCCAACCCTTTTATGGGTAGGCATGCTATCTCATCCCCGTTAAACTTGTGTTCGTTCGTTTTGATTTGGATTATCGATTGCACGCTTCTGTTCTGACAAGTGTCAATAGGAACAACAAGTTTAAATTGTCCCCATAAAATAAATAACAAAAGTTCATTAATATTCACTACAACAAATTTGGCCTATTAGGACAAAAAATTTATTTTGTCATTTTTTGTTTGTCACAATAGGTATGGTAATATGGCAAAATTATTATATGTCCTATTAGGTATGCCTAATGTGACGAAATAATCGTTGTCAGAATAAGTCGTCATTTAAAGTGAGTAATGTGACAAATATTTCATGTCACAATTAAAATTTTCATAATAGGTATCCCATATCGGGATGTAAGAGACACAAAAGTGACAAATGATATCGTCAGAGTAGCTTTTGTCATATTATGGCTCCTTTAATTGTTTAAATGACAAAGTATTTTGTCACAATAGATAGCAATAATCCGACGACGAGCTGACAAAAGGGTATGTTCGTCATAATATAGTGGTTTTGACTTTGACAAAAGACATGTTTGTCATAATATATGGTTTCGTTTTTGGCTCCAAATTGAAAATTTTCAATTTTGAGTGGGCGCCCAATCACCTCTCCCCGCCCCTCAATCTCTCCTCAAAAATCCCTCCCAAATTAAAACACGCTCACCTTCCCCACACTTTGCCTCCACCTCTCTCTCTCTCTCTCTCTCTCTCTCTCTCTCTCTCTCTCTTTTCCTTCTTCTCCTTCTGCCAACAATTAAATTCCCCTTCCTACTCCAGAAAAATAAAACCCTAGCCCACTCTTGGTTTCTTCCTCTTTTATTCTTCCGACCAGGCTAATAGAGGCAACGTGCGCACAACGACGATGACGAGGTCGGCCACCGTAATTTTTTCATCTTTTGATCCCTCTCAACCTCTTTTACCTTTCTTCTCTGTCGACGACAGGAAACTCAGATCCGACTACATAGGTCATTTTTCCGGTAAGATTGTCTTATGCAGATCAGGTTTATTTGTTCGATTTTATTTTTATTATGTTTTTTCATTTTAGGGTGCTGATCGCGAGGATGAAAAGAGAATAGAGGCGGCGGCCGAATCTGGTTCAACGTCGGAATCGAGGGGAGGAGTTGTGGCGGGTGCAGTCTAGCGGTGATGGCGAGGTGCTGCGTGGTAGTGACGTTGTCCCTATCCGTCCGAAGGCGTCTTCTTCCTCTTCCATTCCTCCGCTCCTTCCAGATCTGGAATTGAGCTCTCTGTTCGAGTTTTTCCCTTCATCCTCTGCTATGGCGAGCAATGGAGAATATTTTTTGGGTTCTGGGTTTTTTGGAGTTTTCCGGGGACTTTCTTCAGTTTTATTTCGTAGTTGAGTGCCATCGCATCGAGCTCTCACTATTTGTACTCTTCTTTTTCGTTTACACCCCTTGCAGATCTGGGTTTTTTTTTATTTAGTGGTTGTCGCTTGTACGAATTTTTATTTTGTCATTAATGGAATGAGTGTGGAGCTCCTTGACAGAATCCAAAACTTGAAACATATCTTCTTTGGCAAAAATCCAGGCCATGATCTGTGTACGTCGGAATATTCCAAAAACGATTTCTCCCAAAATCACCAGATTATGACAACCGTATTGACAAAATATGTTGTCATAACATCGTTGTTTGTCACAATAGACTATCTAGAAGCTCGGCTATACTGAAAGTAAATGCGACAAACTTGTTTTAAATTTTTGTCACATTTGATCTATCTTGACGGCGATAAAATGACAAACCTTTGTGACAACACCTTTTGTCATATTGGGTATAATATGACAAAATGGGTATCTAATATGACAAAATCGCCTCGTCATAATAGGCCGAATTTGTTGTAGTGATTGTGCCAGAAGAAGTGTGAAGACGGCGCGTCGGGTAACCGTGAGGCCATACAGCCCACGCACTCAAATCCTAGTGTTAATCGGATTACTTGTAATAGGGCATGTATAAGACCCGGTGCTGTAAGGCCAATGACCACGAAAACCTAATAACAAAACCCTAGCTCTGTGGACGTAGGTCTCACACACCGTGAGACTGAACCACGTAAAATCGTCGTGTCAATTTCGTATTATGCGTGCCCTTTGATTTTTCTCATGGTATCAGAGCAGGTCGATTCAACCTGTTAAATTTTTTTGTTTGAAGTCTGATCATGGGCGACACCAAGGACGAGAAGCTCCTGGCTGACGCAGGTCAAACCAGCAGAGAACAAGAGCTGGTGTCATCGTTCTACCTTCATCTGTCGGAGACGGCAAGTCAGCTGCAAGTTGCAGAAGTTTTAACCCCTTCCAATTATGGGGAATGGGTCGTGGAGATGAGTGATGCACTCATCATCAAGAATAAGTTAGGTTTTATAGACGACACCATTGATAAGCCTAGCGACGAGGTTAGAGTTCGAGCTTGGACAAGGTGTGAAGCCATGGTTCGGGGCTGGCTTCGTACATCCATGGACAAGGAAGTTCTGGGTAGCGTGCGCTATGCCAAGACCTCGCGAGAGATCTGGCTCGATCTCAAGGATAGTTTTGGACAAGGTAGCGCGTCTCGCGCTTATGAAATCCGGTGCATGGTCAGT